GATTCCAGGACAAATTTTCCCTCTCAAAAAGTATCTTCTGTGTCCACTCCTCAGTAGAAACCCCCTTTCTGGGTGAGTTCAACACTTGTAGGCTTTAGGGTTTGCGATATGAGCATCCCTGGTGAGCTACCAGCCTTGTCCAGGAGGCAGCACAACCACTGACTCCTTTCCCTGGGAGAGAGAGGCTGGAGCTGGACGAGCAAGCTCCACGGTACACCTCACATGCCAAGGATTTTCACTCTTGCTGCTGTGGCCCAAGCCCCAAGACTGCCCAATGCTCAGGTGAGCCCTGCATGGCCCCAGATTTTAGAAACACTGCAACAGAGACACCCCAAGAGCATCCGATGCTGCAGTGACAGTGACATTTGGCCTTAGGATTCCTGAAGGTGATAGATGGAGAACAAGCTGTCTCTAACCTAATGCACATTAGTATCAGCTGGGGACGCCTGAAAAACCTTTCACTTTGGAAGTGAGAGCTACAAAGACAGTGCAAAAACAGCCTGTAGCCCCCTTACCCAGCTTCCCCAGTGTAAACATTTCACGTAACCAGGGCACCCACTTCAAAATCAAGAAACCAGCTTGGCCACAGAACAGCTAACTGCCTGGAGCGCTTTGCTCAGATGTCCCCAGCTCTCCCCAATGTCCCTGAGTAGCTGATGTTTGAGGACCCATCCCAGCATCTCTCACATCTCCTTAGTCTACGCCAATGTGACTTGTGTCACATTCCCAGGCTTCTCTCCTTTGCTCAAGATGCTGACACTCTGGAACAGTTACCCATTAAAGTGATCTGATTTTTGGATGCACTTATTTCTATTTATTTCAAAGGCAGAGCAACAGCAAAAGCCAGATCTTCTATTCACTGGTTTACTCCCTCAATTCCCAGGAAATCTGGGATCTCCAATAGGGTGGCAAGGGTCCAAGTACTTGGGACATCACCTGCTCCCTCCCAGGATGTACAACAGCAGGAAGCTGAATCAAAGCGGAAGCAGGACTTGACTCCAGGCACTCCAATATGGGATGTAGGTTTCCCAGGCAGAGGCTTAACTCACCACACCACAACACCTGCTCCTGATACATTCTTTATAGAATGCCCCTTTGTCTGAGTTTGAGGCCTGGATTTCAGGGAGGACAATGATGTTTGCGTTGATGACTGGGCTGTGGTGGTGTCTGCCAACTGTTTCCTCCACAAAGTCCTTGTCCTCTTGCATGCTCTGGGTCTTGGATGTGAATCCCCATGGCCAGCCCGCTTTGCAGGGGACAGGTGGCAGATGCTTTCATCCCAGCCCTCTCTCTTGGTGGTTCCTTGTGTCTTCATCCCCTCACTGCTGTTTACAGCCCTGGTTGTCATGAGCTAGACTTGGCCACAGTTACTCCATAAAGGGCACACTCATAGCTGCCTAGCCTCAAAAGTCACTTAATTCACGCCTCACGTTCTTGCCAGCTGGCCTCCATGGTGCTTGCACATCAGCCCATGGCACTGGGAACTTTTCATGTCAGCAGGAATGGAGAATGTCCTGCCTGCAGGCTGCAGAAGACCCAGGGAATGATCCAGCCTGGCCCTGCCAAGGCTGTCGCAGGCAGGACTCAGCGTTCAGTGCACCTCCAGCAGGTCAGCTTTTCAGGTGATGATTTTGTATGGCCTACATGTGAGGTATCATTATCTACACGGCCCTTGGCAGAAATAAGGTTCCCCAGCCCTGTGTGGCTCATCAGCTTGTCTGTGGGTCGCATTATAAAGGAGGGGCTATAACAGAAGGGCAACAGGAACAGGACACTGCAGCAGGAAGCAGAGTTCCCTTGACTCCTCTATGCTTAGCTACTTACCCGCACAAGGGGGACCCAGACGATCCCATCTCCCTCACGGAGCTGCTATGAGGGATGGTGTAACAGATATTAAAAGGCATACATGGGGCCTGGCGCGGTGGCGCAAGTGGTTAAGGTCCTCGCCTTGCACACCCGGGATCCCATATGGGTGCCGGTTCTATCCTGGCAGCCCCGCTTTCCTTCCAGCTCCCTGCCTGTGGCCCGGGAAAGCAGTCGAGGATGGCCCAAGGCTTTGGGACCCTGCACCCGTGTGGGAGACCCGGAAGAGTCTCCTGGCTTCGGATCGGCATAGCATCGGCCGTTGCGCTCACTTGGGGAGTGAATTATCGGACGGAAGATCTTCCTCTCTGTCTCTCCTCTCTGTATATCTGCCTTTCCAATGAAAAAATAATAAAAATAAATCTTAAAAAAAAGGCATACATGTACTAGGCCTTACACACATACACAGGATGAATGAGCATGGCTTTGGCAATGGGAAAGCTTAAATCATGGAATTTGCATTTCTTAATCAGGAATCAGCAGAGTTAAGAGCTTCCTGCCCAGAGCCTGTTTATGTAAAGTTTTATTAGAACACATCCATGATCAATTACACTGGTCTGCAGCTACTGTTTCCTGTTTGTCTCTCTGGACCCATGGCCCTGTCTGGAGCTGATCCCCTAGCACAAGGGATATTGGAGGTCTCGTCCCAGGCCCTGTGGTGGAGTCATGTCTTAGCTCTTGCAGGCACTGCCTCGGGTGACTGTGTGGCTCCCAGGCCCCTGGGTGTCCAGCAGCTCCATACTCAGCTGCTTTGTGCCGAGCCCTGTCCGGAGAAAGACTGGAGATCCTGGGCTCTGGCCAGGATGCCAGCAAGAGGCAGATGGCAGCTTACATTAGACTCATCCAAGGAGTGTGTAATAAAGTGACAACCTCGCAGGAAGTAGGAAAAAGGTAGAACCCTCAGGCCAGGACAAGCCTACACTCAAGGGGCCAGGGGAGAGTGCACCTCCTGGACCTGGAAGGAAAGGGTTATTTAAGGTGGACCTCTTATGCAGAGTCAGCACTGAGCCAGCTCCAGGCGACCCCCGGAGAGGGTGCCAAGACAATGAAGGCCTTGATCTCACCTTCCTCACATCTCCTGCTGAAAGTCCCCTGAAGCAGAGGTCAGAGGCCTGATGGTGTGGACACTGGGGTCAGCAGCCCAGGGCAGAGAGCCTGGGACGGGCCTCTCTGATGGGCAAAGATTCTGTCCCAGACCTTAGTGGACTGACTTGGGATGGCCAGGCTGATGCGCCTCCTGCAAAGTCCCCTGTATATGGACCACACCTCCCCCAACAGCCCTGAGCCCTCACCTCACCCCTGCAGGTCAGGAGCTCGACTGGACACAAAAAAGGCCATCTCAACTGTCACTTAAATTGCTTTTCTTCCTGTGTCTGCTAGGCTGCAGATGGTTATCATGGGGTTAATCTTCCCCAGATCTTAGACTCAGGAAAGGGCAGAGGTTATGAGAAGCACAGATAAGCTGCTGTTTGTGGGTTTTGGCGAGCCTGAACAAAGTGTGAAAAACAGGTGTAGAGTCTTAAAAGTTCTTCTTCATGGCCTATCTTTCGATCTCAAGAAGGAGCTGGGTCCCATTCATCTCAGCAGATCAGCTCCATCCAGCCTACAAGCAGATGAGCTCACCTCTGGCTCTCTGGGAGAAAGAATCCACATGAAAAAAAAAAAAAAAAACCTGCCTGGACTGAAAAGTGCCCCTAGAATCATCTGCTCCCACTGGCTAGACCCTCTGTTCAGGGCAACTAGACTTCCTTAGCTGGCATCTGGTATCTTCCAAGCCCCAAATACAGCCAGTGAATTCATCTGGAGAGGCGCCTGTGGCCAGTTCCAAAGGTTCTGCTGACAAGACCTCATGGTGTCACAGAGGAAGGCGTGGTGGCAGCTTCGCCAGGAGAGCCACGGCTGGAACTGAATGGCCTGGTGACCCTTAACAGCTTCTACTTTTTTTTTTTTTAATAGAACAGCAAAGCTGAGGTCAGTCTTACACCCTGGGCAGAGCCTTGGCAAAAACGCAACATGTGGTCCAGTTTCAGGCATGATCAGCTTGTTGAGATCAGCTGCCAAGACCACACACTCCAAGAATGGGAAACAGTGCTGCGTGGGCTGGGTGAGGGCACAGGCTTATGTCTACCTTCCCATATACCAGTGGCTGATGGGATGTCGAACACATTATCTATGATATGGATGAATCTTACAAGTTCTATTCATTCCAGGGCTACCATCAATCTCTGTGTGACACCCAATAGCACCCGATGACATGCCCTGCCGTGTCCAATGCACGGTGCTTTCCTTGTTGTCTCGGGCCTCCAGGGGAAGGCTGGGGAGAGACGTTTACATTCACTTTGTCATGAAGCCAGGAGTCCACCAGCTGGCACAATGCTCACTCCTTAGGCTAACTCTCCGGGATGGGGACCCCCCTGGCGTGTGAGTGGGGAGGCCTCCTGGGGCGCTTTCTTGCAGGCTCCTGGACTCCAGTGTCACTCATCTCTTGCCTCTCCTCCCTCCTTCCCCTCACATTTCCCGCAGACACACAAAGAGCTCCGACTCATCACCCAAACGCTCGGGGTTTAAATTAGACAACTTTGTCCTGACAGGAGCCGAGTCGCAGCTGTCATTGCTGATTATTTTTAGAGTTACTACTAAACCCTCCATACGGCATGAGCTGCCACTGCTGAAGGGAGCCAGAATGACTCCCCGTTTTATCAAGACAGCCAGCCGCTTCCCCATGTGCACTACCTCTTGCCTGGCTTTGGAGGACCATGACATGGCATCCTGGGGCTCCCACCCTGAGGCAGGCAGACCATGACACCTGCTACTACACCTAAGGGATAAGTAGCCCCCAGAGCCAAGCCATGAAACCCACTGCCTCCAGGAAGCCAAGAGGAAACTTCTCCAGAAGTAGCTGTTTTAGAACTTTCCTCAGGTGAACTAATACCTCCCCCAAACACACACACACCTCCCATGAGTGGTTAAAAAACATGCATCCTCCAGTAACCAGCCAATGGGATCACCATATGCAAATACCCACAGATGTTGGCTGGGATTGGCCAGCTTGTGGGTGACCTCACAATATTCCTCTTCTGACCCAACAATGTCACTGGCACTAAAAAGGCAGGTACCTGGCAGCAGCTCTTGCAGAGAGAAAAATTCACCACAAGTAGAGAACCTTCTAGGTTGCTCCTGAAGTGTAAGGACAGTAGCCTCTGCTGTCCAAGTTACTGAACCCAGAACAAAAAAATGACCTTATGAACCATGGGAAAAGAAGCGCCACAACCGAGGCCAAAGGTGAATGTATCTTCTTACATCCACTTTTTGCTGAATTACAGAAACAAATGCAAGGAGCAGCAGCCAAATAGCTACCTTGGCTTTAAAGAGTTCTCTAGAAAGTGTTCAGAAAAATGGAAGTCCATCTCGAAGCACGAAAGAGCCAAGTACGAAGCCCTGGCTAAGCTCGATAAAGCCAGGTACCAGGAGGAAATGATGAATTACGTTGGCAAGAGGAAGAAGCGGAGAAAGCGGGACCCCCAGGCACCCCGAAGGCCTCCATCGTCCTTCGTCCTCTTCTGCCAAGACCACTATGCCCAGCTGAAGAGGGAGAACCCCAACTGGTCTGTGGTGCAGGTGGCCAAGGCCACGGGGAAGATGTGGGCTGCAGCGTCGGACAAGGACAAGCAGCCTTATGAAGACAGAGCCGCTTACCTGAGAGCTAAGTATTTTGAGGAGCTGGAGGACTACCGCAAACAACGCCACGCCAGGAAGAAGAGCCTCCGGGCTCTGGCTAAGAAACGGCGAGGAGGGCGAGCACGCAGGCAGAGATGATGGATCCGATATGAGAAAATAAAAATGCCATTCAACCATCTCCAGACTGGTGTTGTGGTGTGACAGTAGCTGTGGCTTTGGCAGTAAGAGGGGTGGGTGGGGGGTTGAGGAACTGAATACATGAGGGAAGTGGAACTGCCAGAGTGGAGGGCAGCAATGTCTAGCCAGTCGTGGCTGTAGTACGAAGGGAAGGAGGGATATGGGGAGAAGTCACATAGGAAGGTGTGACCTTAGGAACACAGTCCTAGTGCTGGTGAGGAGGGTGGGAGAGCTGGATGGACTTCCAGGGTCAGAGGGCCTAGAGTTCAGATCAGACCTCCCCACAGGGATGATCCCATACCCCATTTAGACACATTCATGTGTGGGATGGAGCCAGGAGAGGTTGGGCAGCCGGATCTGGGGGAGCCTGTGGGAATTCCTCATTCCAGAGTCTGAGTCCCCTCAGTAGGGTTTAAGACAACTTGTTGGGCTTGTCCCTTGTCGGGGCTATACCCATGAGGCTCATTTCACAAACAACCTAGGCCTGGAGCACTCACCCTCATTGTGGATCAGAGTCTGACACACACATGATGGAATTTATGGCCATATGGCATCCCTTTATCTCTCAATCACAAAGCCTCTCGACTCCCCTTTGTGACCAATTCTTATTCAGATAACTTTCATGGCCATAATGATTGGTTGGACGATGGGCATGGGCCCAGTCCAAGTGGATTTTGGACCTGTTGGTGGTGTCCCGGGGCTGGTTCAGCACTGTAGTTGTTGATGGCTACATGAACTTCTGAGGCTAATGGCCAAGGACAGAGTTCCTTTGACATCAGGATCTTCTTGTACACAGTGCTGAAGATGAGCTTACTTGGGTTTCACTTTTTACCTGAGATGGTTTGGGTTTCCTACCACCTCTTGGTCACTTCTCACAGATGGGGCTGTTGGGTCTCAAGTCACCACAAGGCAGTGATTGTTGCCAAATAACGGAATATGGCACTTTGGCCTCCTTGACCTCAAAATGACAAAGGTCCAAACTGCTTTCCTGTTGTTCCCTGACTCAGGCACCACACTTCCCCAGCTCTACCTTCAACCCCACTTTCTGCTTTACGGTGTCAATGAAACAGAAGCACAAACGCAGTTTTGCAAAGATTTCTAGAAGTTCGTGCATTTTTGGAGGCCATAGGTCACGCAATGGAATAAGGCAGGCTGCAGATGGAGGGATCCCTGTGCAAGTCCTATGGGATAGGTACAGGAGGGATACAACACAGAACAGTTAGGCCCCTGACCTTCCAGAATTTTCCCTCAACCGAGGGAGACACATAGACATGAAGCATGGTACTCTACAGCACAATGATGATGAAAGTGGACATGTAAGGGTTGGGGCACAGGTGGGACCCCCTACCAAGTCAATCTGAGAAATCTTCATGGAAGAAGCAGACCTATCTAATTCAGTACACTGGTACTCATGCTGGCAAAATTACCAGTCTTCACTCCCCAGTGCTGCTATTCCAGTTTGGCTCTGCTTCCCTCCTGCCCATCCTCCACCCTCTCCGGAAATGCTCTCATTTGCTGCTTCATTGAGAAAACAGAGACCATCAGACCTAAGCGCTTTCAGTTTCCCAAATGCAGCACACACTACAGCCTTGCCTCTTGCTGGCTCATCTCCCAGGGAGCTGTACCCTTCTTCCTTTGGCTACTTCCTTTGCCTGCCTCTCTCCGGCCTTTACATGTGTCCCTTGAGCCCACATGGCACTCCTTTCTAGTTTCTTGAGTGATTAATTTCATGAATGTGGGAGGCCAAGTCCCAAGTCTGGACAACACTCTGTGTTGCCCTGGTGATCATGAACTCCCTTGACAGTCCTTTATGACAAAGGCAGCTGGGGCGGGGGCATGATTCTGCTGGTGGTTAAGGACTGCCAGGTCATGATGGTGGAGGGAGGGCAGGACAAGTCGGGGGAAGCTAGACCTAAGCTAAGAGGGGCGAGGAAAAAGCAGGTGGAAGGCTCATGTGCTGCCAGCATTTCAGGCCTGCCCCGCTGGGCTCAGGTGCTCTGTCCTTGGGAAGACTGTCTTGGTGATGGAATCACTCCACTTTGCTTCTCTCTCCCATGTGGTAAAATCACTAATGAATTTATTCATCTGCTCCACAAATATTTATGTAAATCCTTTGCCTGCAAATTATCAGTAACAGTTTTGGTACTGGGGACACAGCAAGGTCCCTGATCCGACTACACTCCAATGAAGAGCGCTCAGACAATGGGAAGTCAGCCTTTAAAAATCAAATCACTTTCCAGCATTGTCATGTATGGCAGAGCCAATGAGGCAGGGCTCCTGGGGTAGATGAACAGGTTGGGGATGGTACTTGAAGTGTGTGGCAGGATGCTCTGTGAAGGTGACATTTGAGGTTGAGTTTAAAGGACTGGAGGGGGCCAGGCATGCTGAGGTCTGAGGGGAGAGTGCTTCAACTTTCACAGTAAGTGTAAAGGCCCTGGGGGCAGGAGAGAGCTTGGTACTTTAGAGGGGACAGAAGGGATCTGCAAGGGCCTGGAAGTGTGTGACAAGTGGGGAGATATAGTGGGAAAAGTATGAGCCTTAGTACGGAGTTTATTTTGAAATCTAAGTGCAATTGGGAATGCCACATTTTGAATATTTATCCATCTAAATTCAGGAATTTAGTCCCCAAAGTCTTGTGAATAATCCTAAGAGGGTGGGAATTTGAGCTACTAGGGAGTTTAGCATGAGAGTCTCTGAGGAGTGAGTCACTGGGGAAGAGCTTCCCTGAATCTGGTGACATTAGCCCACTTAGAAGACACGTGGATAGACAGACATGCCCCACCTTGTTCTTAGGATGCTCAGAGCCTTTGGGAGCAAGAAGCACCACTGCCTGTAAGCCCCGGACCTTGTGCCTCCAGAAGTGGGGACCACAGCACACCTTCTGTTCCATATACAGTCTACCCCAAGTTTTTTCCTCAGAGTGATGAAAAGCTGACCAATACAGTCACAAAGCTTTCACAGTGGGGAGCTATGTGCTTGCTGTCTAGTTATTGGTTATTGGAGTCTGCTGTCTGTCAACACAGGCATACTAATACCATAAGTGCCACCAAGACAAGTAGGCAAGGCTAGAAAACACCCGATTCATAATGCTTTCCCTTCTAAAGCCTCTGGATGCTATGTAAGCTCAGATCCAAGGGTCGTGATGTGTATGATTCATTTTTCCAGGAATAGGATAGTGGGTGGGGATGGGTGGCACCCTATTCCAGGGACACACTTCTTCCTGGGTCTCATGTTTCCACTGAAATAACTTGCCATAGATAACCAATCAAAGTTTCTGCACAAAGCCACCTGTGGGGCTCATGGAGATGGATGGCTGAGCCACATGCCCAGAGTTTCTGGGACTCGCACCTATAAAATGCATTCCTAAAAGTTGTAAGCACCACTGCACTCGAACCAGCCAATGTATTTCTAAAAGTTCCCAGGGAACCTTGATTGTAGGTCCCCTGGGCCCCAGAGTTCTTCTCACAGCCCCTCATTCACTCTGAAAGAGGGGTGAGATCTACCTGAAAAACTCAGGAGGGGCTCCATCTCTCTCCACCCCTTCTCCTCTCCCTATCTGTACCATGCATTCAACATGCCCTGTAACCAGCTCACCAGCAATGAGGGTGCCACATGGATCATCATCTTTCTCCTACATCTGCTCACTGATTATGCTTGAGAGGGGGAAGAGCTATATTTATTTACTGTTTTTCTCCCTTAAATCTTCACACAGAGGTGAAGCTCAGATGGCATCAGCTGACATCTGGGTCTTGCAGGCAGTGCTGGCATCTTGTGCCTGTATTCAGCCTCCCTGGAGACACCAACCATCTGGGGGGCAAACACATCCAGGCCCCAGGCCTGTGAGGCTGGAGGTCAGGGCCGTGGACAGGCAGTGGTCATCAGGATGAGGTGACAAAGGCAATGGTGTCCCCTCTGTCCTGTCACAAACAACTGCCATCCACAGGTGTCCTGGGGGGACCAATGGGACATCTAGGATGCTGCTGCACGTGAAGGGAGGTGTATAGGAAGCATCCCATGCTTCAGACAAGAGCAGCAGTTCCACACAGGAGAGAAAATTGGATTAGAGGCCTCTAGGGGGCCCTGTAACCTTCCAGGCTGGCCCAGACCACTGCAGGAGATTGTCGGAGGCACAGAACACTCTGGGGATTGAACACTGGCAGCAGTCATCCTGTCATCATGCTCTCCATTCATTGTTCCATTTCCATTGCCTGTGTCTGTCCCGGCCGGCTGAGTGGTGTCTCTGAAATTTCCCTATCTCCAAAGTGAGACAGGCCAGTTGCTGCCCATTGCCTAGGAGATGGAGTCTGAAACGGCATAATCAGTATACTGGGGCCTCTCTAGTGGCACTATTCCTGTCACTCACATTGGTGGCAGCTTGAGAAGTGCTTCCAGTGGCCCCCACCTTCTAAAATCCATGCTCTTGTGCAAGCCCCTCCCCTTGTGATGAATACAACAGGACACTCACAGCAGATGTTATCTCTGCTATCAGGTTATGGAAGCCTATGGAGTCTCCTTGTCTCTTCCCAGTTTTGCTCACTTATAGAGAGCAGCTCTAGTGGCTAGTCCCTTAGATGTGGGGCCAGTGACTGCTGGCCAGTGCCTGGTGAGGAGCAGAGTCTGTGAGGCTGAATCTTGGCTCCTCCCCAAGTGAGTCCAGGACTCCCATAGTCCCATTGCATTGCCTGGCCACAGCCCAATGGGTAAGCCACACTGACTCCAGATCCACACAAGCCAGGAGATGTTGTTCCATGTGTGAAGCTTTGAGGTAATTTGTAAACAAATAATTTGTAAACAAATAATGAGACAATGGATGTTACTTTGGATACCAAGAGAAAAATAGCATGGGGTCCAACTGTCGGCTCCCAAAGCAGTTAGAGCTGCCACTTGCAATGCCAGCATCCCAGCCGAGCACCAGTTCATTACCAGCTGCTCAACTTCCAATCCAGCTCCCTGCTTATGTGCCTGGAAAAGCAGCAGAAGATGGTCCACATGCTTGGAC